CAAGGAAAAGCAAGGAAAAAAGAGAGAGAAGCCAAGGAAAAGACTCTTAACTACTGAGAACAAACTGATGGCTACCAGAGGTGAGGCAGGTGGGGGGATGGGTGAAATGGGTGATAGTGATTAAGGAGTGCACCTGGCATCATAAGCACTGGGTGACCTATGGAAGTGCTGAATCACTATATTGTACGCTTGAAACTAATATTACACTGTATGCTCACTATAATGGAATTAAAAAAGATAATAGTTAGCATAATTAGAGCCTTTTTTTTTTTTTACCTTTCAGACACATTTCATACTAAAATGTCCTCCCCAAAATTGGCAGACTTCTAAAAAGATTATTTTTCTATCCATTTGAAAGCCTTTTTGATCAAATATAAAAATATGCATAAGGTGATATATGTCTAACACATAAATATAGATTGCAATGTAATTGCTGCTATAGGATAATTGCTCATTCTTTGATCATGAAAAAAATTAACACACAAACTAAGTATAGGATTGTTTTTACCTCCCTGCCTTCTAGAACTGTGCTGTGCTCTGGGCTAGAAAGTACATAATTGGGGCCAGACTGTATTTTCAAAAACATTTCCCCTTTTAGCTACTGATGTAGCATAGATATCAGAACACTGAGCTTTGAAATAATCTGCTGATATCATCTATTTTTCAGAAGAGAAGGGAGGCTCCTCCTTCAGTGTTCATGACTAAGGCTATCTGTATGGAAACAGGCTCCGGGTTGCTTAGGAATTCATTGGCTCCTGGCTAGCTGTTTCCCACTTCACTTCAAGCAGTAACCTTCAGTCTGCTTGAGATACCATCATTCATCCTCAGAGTCATGGAGTGTCATGCTACATAAAAAGAGATTATTTTTTGAAACGACTTCAAGAGATTCCTATCAAATAAAGGAAGAGCCAGAGTAACAGTTGCATGTCTCACAGAAAATTAGAACATTCATGTAACTTCAACAGTCTCCCTGGTCATTTTTTTTTTACGTGGCTTAAAAAAAAATGATCAGGTTTTCTTTTGTTTTTCCAAATTACTAAAGTAATATACGTTCATTGTAACAAGGCAAATAATTCAGAGCCATATAAAGTCCCACTGCCTTCCCCCTTGTTCCAACCCATGCTCGAGGATGACCCATTATAAAACCTGATGTGTATCATTCTATGTTTTACTATGATTTTTAAATAATCTTAAACAAACATATATACACATAACACATTCCAGTTTTATAACGCAACCTATTACAGATCTGGTATTGTTCAGCAATTTGTTTTTTAACTTAACATTCTTATCAATGACATCTTTCAAAGCTAATATACAGTTTGACCACATTGTTTTGAGTGACTGCATAATATTTCATAGTATTAATGTAAAATAATTTATATAGCCATTCCCCCATTGAAGAAAAATTAAGTCTTTGTTGAATGTTTGCTACTATAGTGTTAGAGTTAACATACCGGTACATATTTCTCTCTATATTATTTATTTCTGTAGGATAGATACCTACATGTGGGAGTGATATATCAAAGAAAATACAAATTCTTAATTTAAAAAAAAATGTTACCTTCTTACTCTCCCAAGAGACAGAGCCAACAGTGTTAATGTGTTCCCTTTCCCCAACAACTTTGAGAATATTGGATATGGATATTATCAATGTTTCTAAATGTTGTCCAGTAGTGGATAAAAAAGAATCATGTTTTATTATTTTTTTTATGTTTTATTATTTTAATCTGCACTTCTGTGGGACTAGTTTAAATATTCAGCTGTTGTTTTGCTGTAGTCCCTATTAAAAGTTATATTCGTCACTTGTCAATAGACAATGAGTTTTTTTTTTTTAAGTATTTTATTTATTTGACAGACAGAGATCACAAGTAGGTAGAGAGGCAGGCGGAGAGAGGAGGAAGCAGGCTCCCTGCTGAGCAGAGAGCCCGATGCGGGGCTCGATCCCAGGACCCTGGGATCATGACCTGAGCCGAAGGCAGAGGCTTTAACCCACTGAGCCACCCAGGCGCCCCGACAATGAGTTTTTTCTACATTCCTTTTTTAAATCCTGAAGGGCACAAACTTTTGTACTATTTGCTTTGTAAATGCCCCCTTGAAACTACGATTGTTAACTTACCTTACCTACTGGAAGACTTAATCTTATAATTTTATTACATGAATTAAATGAAGGATGTTAGACAAATCTACAGGATTCTGATTTTTAATCACCTGGCCTAAATTCAATCTTAACAATCAAAAGAGGTTTTTTTTTCAACCCTCCAGCCTAGCTATCACAACCAAATTACCAAAACATTAACAACCAAGGGAGCAACCAAATTCTATACAGATTATCAGTAAAGGGTAACATGATAAGAGGGTGGCAAAGGGGCACCTTTAATTAGGGGACCGGAAGGCTTATCTGAGGTGGTAATAATTAAGATCATAGTGTCAAGAAATAATCAGGTGTGTGCAATTAAGGAAGAAGAGGGGATAAGGGAGGCATGGTCAAGAAAGAGATGGGCCAACCTATCTAGAAAATAGTAAGGTGGGAGAGTACAGATAGAAAGTGAAGTCAGTTTGGGGATAGAAGGTAGGAATCATGAGTCTTGCTCACCAAGTTTGAGGCCCATCATACATCAAAGTACAGATGAGAAAAAGCTACCATAAAAGTAACTCCAGAGTCAAGGAAGGGGCCACTACTGAAAATACAGATTTAGGAGACATTGGCATCAAGATGCCATTGAAAACCACTGAACTCCATAAGATCACATTGAGGTCATCCAAAGAAGTGAAAATGTCAGAGAGAGCATACACTGAGACACAACATCACAGTTAAGCACCAAATGTTCTTCAAACATAGAGTTACTCAAAATTACACTATGATGTAAAGATAGGACTTTGATCCTTGGATATGTCTGAAGTTTTGATGTGCATTATTTTAGGGAATCCTTTACCGAGTTGTAAGGCAAAAATTTTATATTAAAGCACCAGTAATAATCCCCAAAACATTTTTTGTAAGTTAGATACTTATGGGTGAAGTGGTGGCATTCTGAGTGACTCATGATTATAGATATATAGATACAAAGTGTTCTGGGTTCATGAGTAAACACAGATTACTATCTGTCACAAAGCCCTACATAATGCACATAAAGTACTGGGTAATGCAAAGAATTTTTAAAAAAGATTTCTTATGTGAGACAGTAACTTAAAAACAAACTTAAGGACTCTGATTCCCATGACCTTGAGATTGAGTCCTCTCCTTAAATTCTGCAACCTAGTTGCTTTGCTGGCCCCACCCTAGTCCTAGCCAGCAGACTCCTTTAAATTAGTCTGAGAACATGTGCTTTTTTTTCATTGATTCAAGTGATTAAGAAAGTGAAAGTGCATATGTCAATTAAAATGTTGACATCAAAAATAAAAAGTCTCAACTTAAGGTCTGGAGAAGGCTTGAAAATTGACAAAGGTCATGACCTAATAAAAATGAAAGTAAATAGATCTCGATAATTTTAATCTCATAATTTATTTTACATCATGTAATTGGTTCTTAGAGGGTTACTTTTCAAAGTTAAGAAGAAGTCCAATACTGTAACCAAGTAAATCCAATGTATATTGAATTTTCAGTTCTCTTCACAAGTTTCTTTCCTCTTTTGACAATGAAAGTAAGAGAAAGGGTGGCTTTATCATGAAACAGCAAAAAATAAACAAAAAACTTCAAAGATCAGTTTTGTTTTGAAGCCATTAAGCAAGTGCCAGGGATTTTCCAAGTTAGTAGCTGAAATTCTTAAAATACTTGCTGGCTTGGAAAATCATACTTATATATTAAATACAAGTTGAATTTCTTAATCCATGAATAAACAATTTTAGCAGATAATCTATTTTATGATGCATTAAATGTATTATTTTTAACATACAGATACATTATAAATATAAAATGCATAAAGTCTTGATTAAACCCCAAGTAATAAATACATAAGATTACATGAGTGGGGCACCTGGGTGGCTCAGTGGGTTAAAGCCTCTGCCTTCGATTCAGGTCATGATATCGGGGTCCTGGGATCCAGCACCATGTCAGGCTCTCTGCTCAGTGGGGAGCCTGCTTCCCCTCCCCCCCCCCCCCCCCCCCCCCCCCCCGCTTCTCTGCCTGCTTGTGATCTCTCTCTGTCAAATAAATAAATAAAATCTTTAAAAAAAAAAGACTACATGAGTAACCATTTTATTCTAAAAACAAATATAGCAAACTGAATGAATATAGCAATTAAAAAAAAAAGTAAAACAAAATGGACTTAAGAGAAATGCAGTTTGCTCAGGCACAAAATCAGATATTGGGGAAAGTTTACTTTTAAATATCACTTACATTCCTCAGGTTGATTGGCTCAGTCACACAATTAACTGTTCATAGAAAATTTTGCTTGCAACAACAGCTAAAAGGATCTTGTTTCACAGTTCAAAAAATTGTAATTACAAATATTTGATATTTTTATTCAAAAAATGCTATAATTAAAATTAAATTTTTCATATCATTTTAAGCCAACTAAATAAACTTAATGTTTTAAAAACTTAATTTCAAATTCCTGTCTTATACTGCAACATTGTAAGAAAATCAAGATGAATACAAACAACTAAGTCTATACTTTACTTTCCATAAATAACTATACGAAAACTTGAGAAAAGAAAGAATCAAGTACTGTATATTTATTCAATAGTAGAAAAAAGAACTAGCACATTTTTAATGTCAGACATGTAGCTATCTCCTCATTCAATATGGGCTAGATAAATAAAACTAATAGAAATGCAGCAAAGATTAAAGAAATACACTCATTAGAAAACAGAGCAATGATCAAAGTAATAGTATCCACACAGAAGTCAGAGAGGCCATGGACAGCAAAAGCCTGTAAGGAGAGTAGCAGAAAAAGAAAAAGACAAGAAATAAAGCTGACTTAAATCAGTAGCACAGTTATACTGAAGGCAATACAATCACTATTAAATTCAGCGTTCGAAAGAGAAAGAGTCTTACTTACTTGAAAGAGGAACATACACAATACATAAAGCCAGTAAGAACAAAAGAGAACACGGCTTCCGTTTCCAATGACAGTTCCACATTTGGTCTGAGTGAAACATCCTGCAACAGAAGAAAGTAACCCTCAGGTCACTCGGTATTCAGTAAAGCATTAGACAATCACAGTCAAGGTATAGGTTTTCAGCAGAGATCGGAAAATAGAAATCGTTTTCAATCTTGCTTCCCAATAAAGAAGGAACTTTAAGCTAATTAGGCAAAAGAAAAAAAAATCCATGCATGTTATTTGCCACTTGGTGGCACCTTCCTTATCAGAGAATATACATAACCCATGATTTCCCAATGAAGATGGGGAAATAGATAACTCAAGTTCATTTATTAAAAAATAAAGCAATTTCAATTTCAACCTTCAGCATCACCAGTCACATGCCCACCTGTGTGGCAAGAGGATTTTCTATCTACCTCTTCTATAACCTTCCAAAAATTTAGACTTTAAGGAAATGTTTTCATTTTATAACATCTGCTTTTTACAAATGGAAACATTTAAAATAAAAATAAATTGTCTGCTTGTCTTTTTTCCCCTAAAATAAGGCAATGAAGCATTAACATCTAAGAAGAATAACTTCTTTATATATAACAATAATTACTAATGTTTTTAAATCACTAGTAAACACCAAGTATTATAGAACTAGTAAATGACATTAGATGGAGGGCTGGTGCTTTGAAAACTCTCAATTATTTGCCTATACAGTGACCTCATCTTTAAGCTCAAAAGAGTACCTAATAATAGTTTAGACAGAAACATCCATTTTATCCTGGCTTCAAAGAGTGGTATGATACCATGCATTGACTCAACCCCATCATAAGAGGCAAGCCTGAGAATAGGGCAGCAAGTGTAAAGGTCAGTCACCAGGGCCATAAAAGGATCAGTGAGCATGACAGCCCTATCAGGCAGGAAGATGGTTAAGCAGCAGTAAGAAATCTCCAGATCTTAAAATCTTCAAAAGGAGTTACTATGGTTCCAGGGGATAATTGAGAGTCTTTTTATTTCTAAAAAGAGAAACAACCAATAAGATACTGTAGGATCCCAGTAATACCTTCTTTACCTGAAGGTTGTTTATCTGGAGCAAAATCTGGAATACCAAGCACAAAACCAGAAAAGTAGGAAAGGGAATGCTCAAATAAGCAAAAATAGACATCAAGTGATTCCTACACTTGCCTCAAGCCTTCATTTCCAGTCCATTTTTACTGTTAGAAACCACCTAAGCAGCAAAGAGAACAAGCTCCAGAGTCAGACAGATAAAGGTTGCTACCTGTCAAAACATGCAACACTTGGGAAATTCACTTGACCACCCTGTACCTCCTATTTTTTAAAATTATTTTTAGTAACATATAATGTATTACTTGCCCCATGGGTACAGGTCTGTGAATCACCAGGCTTACATATTTCACAGCACTCACCATTGCACATGCCCTCCCCAGTGTCCATCACCCAGCCACCCTGTCCCTACCCGCCCCACTATAAGAGACTCCTAATCTCACAAAACAAACTGAGGGTTGCACCTCCTATTTTTCACCCATCAAACAGAAAAAGCAATAGAACATAAACCATATAGTTGTTGGATGATTAAATCAGAACATGTCAAAAAAATCAGAGCACATCTTTTAAGAACAGTGCCTGACACTCAGCACTCAACAAATATTAGTTATTATTATTGCTACCACCATCCTGGGCATTCTAATATAAGAATGGTTATTCTGTCCATAGTAAAATCAAAAGAAAAGGCTTAAACAAGAATGGACAATAAGATATCATAAACCAACACCAATCGATTGACTTTGTGACTATTTCTGGGTCACCTGGGAAGAGAAATGGAATGGGTTATTCATGTCTGCCATGAATACAGAAATTCTGAGGCCTGTCTCATACTCATGCCATGTTTTTCTATTCACCCAACTAGAAGTTCTAGCATCACAAAGCTCCTACTGGAATTTCTAAACTAGGCAACGCTTAAGATCTGAAGAGTACTTTTCTGTATGGAGGGCATGTTTTAAAATACCTCCATCCAAAATGTTTGAAATGTAAAGCAATGTTACCACTTATGAAAAGCAATATGCCACAGCACATCATCATCATAATAATGGATGTGAACTCTGGAACAGCAAAATTACAACCTGCTGCTTCTATTTATTGTGTGACTTTAGAGACAAGTACTTAAAACTCAGGACTATTTCCTCTACTGTAAATAGAGTATCATCCACCAAAAAGGTAGAATTAACACTGCATGTCACTTAGTAAGGGCTTTAAAAAAGGGTAGACAATAGGGGTGTCTGGGTGGTTCAGTTGATTAAGCTGCCTTCAGCTCAGGTCATGATCCCAGGGTCCTGGAATCCAGCCCCATGTCAGCTTTCCTGCTCAGAGGGGATCTTGCTTCTCCCTCTCCCTCAGCCCTTCCTCCTGCTTGTGTTCTCCTGCTCTTGCTCTCTCAAATAAATAAATAAAATCTTTGGGGAAAAAAGGGTAGACGATAGACTTCTGTTACATGGAAAGTTCACTCATTTGGAAGAATGGGTTCATTTCCCACTGATGGTGGACGAATGAGGTGTTTCCCACTCATGCCGTGGATAAATGAGTATGCTTCTAAAACAACAACAACAACAACAACAAAAACACAGTTATATATTCAAAGAAGTTTAGAGTTGGGAAGACCAAAGATGAAGTCTAACCTTCTCATTTCAGAGAGGAGGAAACTGAGGCCCGGGGAAATAAAGGGGCAGAACCATCAAAACTGGCTGCCTGCTGTATCATCACCAGTCAGGAATGTCAGCCCAAGAGAACTCCCGGTTTCTTCATCTTTATGGCACATGATAGTTTTCCTTTATCAGTATGTGAATGATGGTCTCCTCTCAGATTTAGGTGCTCTCTCAACAATCCTCAAGGAATGTTTGTTAGCTTGGCAACATTCAATTCCATTTCTTTCACCATGCAACTTTCTTTTGCTACAACAGGTTCTGACAGTTAAGGACTCCAGACTCAATCCTGAAGCTGTTTTACAAAAACTGCCTGCAATCCTTTCAGACAAAAACTGCAAATGACCCAGCACCCCGTGCATTCTGGGTCCCAAGACTCCATCACTTTGTATTGAAAAGGAACCCAGGACAGGGCAAGCACTTGGAATCAAACTCAAACCCCATGACAAGTCAACTTTCATCCAGTTGACTGTTTACTGAAGAACAGAAACAAATAAATTAAGAATAGAACAGAGGAAGGAAAGCACTGTGTGTCTTCTCAGGGGATCACTTAGAAAAGACACATCCCTGAGATTCAAATAACTTTCTCACAAGAACGGAAAATCCTGAACAGGGTTACTAAGGTTCTAAATGGGAACTACAAAAAACATAATGCAATTTTGTATCACTTGAGTTGTAGCCTCAAAGTTCTGAAAAGAGCAAGAACATTTTTTTTAAAGTAAATGAGAGTCATACATAGACTCCTATCACCTGAACAGAATCCAAAAATATAAAACTATCACTGCAGAGGCAAAAACATTACAAAGCTAAACTACTTGGCCAAGATCATGTAATCATTGGTGGCACAGCCAAAACACCCACTGGGTCACCAGGCTTCCAAGTCACCTACCTCTAACTGCAAACTTGTTCCCCTTTTCAAATGGCATAGGCTACAAAATACATTATGCTTGAGTCCTATTTCAGGAATTCTAGAACTTAACCCTTCCATAGGAATTGTTTTAACATCAGAATGACCCCTTGTAAATGTGACTTAATGCAAACACATCACTGAAATAATCTGTAATCTCGAAAAGCTACCGTCTTGCACCTTTTTAGTCCTACTGGGTCCCTTAAAAGTCAAATTTAAAGAGAAATTAGTGAAGACATTTTGAAATCAGGGGAGAAACTGACATGGCACTAATTCTATTACCTGTAATGGTCAGAATTACATTCATTCCTCACCTCCCAAGTGTATTTCTGTATCAAATCTTGTCAGAAAGGGGCATGAGGAGTAGCACAGAGAGTACTTCTAGTATTCTTCTAGAGTGAAAAGAATGTAATTTGGTTTATTCAAGTCTGCTCATAATTGGGAGAAACTGGGTAAAGGGTGCACTGGGTCTTTACTATTTCTTCCAACCATATGAAATCTACAAACTTCTCAATAAAATTTTCAATTTAAAAAGCAAAACCCAAAGCCCTGATGTATATAATTTACATTCAGATGATTCAGGAAAAATACTGTGTCGCGTGTGTGTGTGTGTGTGTGTGTGTGTGTGTGTGTGTGTACAGAGAGTAGTGGGTTGGTGGGAAGAAGAAAGGATGGAAAATAAAGCAAATGGGGTAAACATTTACATTAAGTAATTCTGCGTAAAGAATAAACAGGTGTTCTTTGTATTATTCTTGCAACTTTTCTGTAGGTTTAAAATTCTTTCTAAATAAATTTCAACAGAGCCATCCACATTTACACTAAAGTGTATCACACGAAGTTTTTCATGACACTCCCATCACTATTACTTTTTCATCATCACCAGCTTGATAGAAGTAGCATCTCATTTGGATTTCCTTTATTTGGGTTGGCATGTTCAAGTTCTTTTTGTAAGTTTTCTATTATAATAGAAATATTTTTCTTAGTGATTTGTGATTTTTTTTTAACCAATGCTATACAAAATACGTTAAGCCTTTGTCATATTTGCTACAAATAGTTTTAAACACAGTAATCTTGAAGTTTTCCTTAGAGCATTCCAAATAATTCTATCCTGAGTAATGCTTATAAGGGAAAGCAAGATGATACTCAGGTAGCCACATTCAAGTTTTACTGGCATTTTTAGTTACCACTGAAAAGTCCTTTAAATGTTAGCACCCCACTCACCAAGTATGCATCTTAACACAATCCAATGTAGATAATAAGATAAGGGCATCCAATCAGAAACGAAATGGAAAGATATGGGGGTTTTTTGCCTAAGCACACCACACACATTGAACAAAGTCTTATTCTATTTAGTCTAAAGTCCAAATTGTCTCGAGAAACTTTTAATCATCCCATCAGAAATGTAAACTCTGTAAGAGATGGGCAGTTAGAAAAATGGTCAAGTTTAAGCAAGTGGTTGTCAGTTTATTTTTAATGTATAAACTGATTCTCTTTCAAATCATTATTTCCAGAAATCAGAGTGACGTGTCCAGTTAGGCAGTAAAACTACAAGCTTCTAATATTTCCCATAAGCCAAGAGACAATAGCCTCATTCACCATTCACACTGGAAAAGCACAATGTCATGTAATTTATATAAGCCATAAATGGAAAGATCAGGAGCTTCATACAGCTTGAGATCAGTTTAGCAAGACCAATTCTTGCTAAATCTATTAAATTTCTTAGGATATGAAAAATATGTGGTTGCTACAACTCCAAATATACTTATAAAATCTGTAATTCCATAACCTGAATGTCACAATATATTAATACTCTTTCTTTACAAAGAGTAGGCAGAAAATATGTTTGTGTGCCTGAACCCATTAAAATTATAATAAAAGATCATGGAGTTTGTATTCCCATTTTAACATTTTTCAACAAGATAGTAAGAATATTTATTGTGGAAACGTTGATATTATTTCCATATATTCTAACATACTAATATCTAAAAGAATTCAGATCATCTTAAACCATTCTGTATGAATTGTAAACAACAAAATGGAAAAAGAAACAGTTATAATCTGGCAAGAAATGGAAAGAGCTCAATAAAGAAACTGAAATTAGGGTAATAAACTCTATGTTATGTGATTAAATATTCATATTTTTACTCTATATAACAAGAAGTTTTAGTCATGTGCAATTCAAATGGGCTAAGTAACTTAATTGCATAATGAGGAATTTTGTATAATACCTGTTGATCAGTTTCACAAGTTTTATTTTAAAAATTGGTATTCACACTTTTTTTCATTTCCCATGAGATCTAAATTACCTAGGAAAGCTGAAAGGAAGCTAGACAAATATCTGCTGTTAAAAACCTTACGATATTTTTAGGAAAAACCAAAGTTCAAAACAAATTCACATTCATTTAAAATATGCCGCCTGTATGAGAACCACTCTTATGTGGGACTGTTGGCTGTATCCCAAGATAAATTATTTCAGGTTATACCTTACTGATCCCACTGGCATAAATGAAACCTTAAAACTCACAGGTGTGGAATTACTTCACATGCAGTTTTAATAAAAATAAGTAGTTCTTTCCTAATTATACTGCTCACTACCAGGAACAGTGGGGCAGAGTGTTGGGCTTGTGGGCACTACTCTTTTCCTGTTTGAAAATTGTGTGCTGGGAGGGGAGAGGAGGAGAAGCTGCACGACAAGGGAAAGACAGGGCCTGAGGCGCAAGTCTTTTCCTAGGTATTAAGCTGAATGAGGAAATTTTAATGGAAATACTTACGGACCCAGTAGCTGGGGAAGGGAGGGTGAATATCAATTTCTAGAAACACTTGTGTATCAGTGGAAGGGAGTAAAATGTCAGGGTATCTGCGCAAGATTAAATAAAACATCAGAGGGAAAATTACATATTACAAGAAAAAGCAACTTCTGAATTGGCCACAAAAACGGGCTCTTTTTAGAACAATCTTCTTTTTTGCATTCTGGAAGGCCCAAGCCGTTCTCGGTGGCCCTTTCGCGGGGTCGCTCTGAGGAACCTCACCACTTCTATGGTAACTCCACAAAATCAAAACCTTTTAGGCGTCTCTGACCATTCATAGCCCTATGTACCCCACTTCTAATTCAAGGCAAGTCGCCTCCCGGGTACCATCCCATAAATGGCATATTCCTTCATTACTTTTTAATCTACAAAATACAACCAATAAATTTTTCTGCGCGCTTTTTTTTTTAACCATTCAAATAACCCAAAGATCCAAGAATAACTTCTACAGTCAAGGGTGTCAACGTGTAAAGTCAACATTTTCTCGGTATACCAGTACCTTTCCAAGCCCCCAGGTGTTGATCCAGGATCCCTCTTTCTTGGCAGGGCAAGGCCCCTGGATAGAGGAGTTGTGGCTGTTACTCCTTGTTTAATTTGACTTGAAAACACGTTTTCTCCATTCTTGAAGCCCTGCCCTTTTTATTATGCTTTACACAGCCCAAATGTGAGGTTTACCTCTCTCTGGGGAAAAAAAAAAGCAAGCCGCACACACATGTCACAGCTCTGCCTGGCAATACCAGCTCACTCCTCAGTGCCTCAGGGGTCAAACTGAAGACAAACCGGTTTATTCTGTCAATGTAGTACTTTAAAAATCACTTAGTTGAGGTGGGGGGCGTAGGGGTAGATACAGGTAAAGGTGTGAAGGAATTCTCAGCTGAAAGGTGAGACTTACATGTTGGCATCACTGCGCTGAGGTCCCCAGGGCCCACACGGTCATGGTCCACAGTCTTCCCCTGGCTCTTCAGCTCTGAGTTCCCCGATGGAGACCCCGGGCGCCCGAGCGGAGCGCGGCGGCCTGACCCTCCTTCACGCTCTTTCTGGAGAGTTCATCGGGGTTTCCTGGCAGTCACTCCACGCCCGCGCAAGGTGGAAGGCCGGCGCGGCGGAGTTCAAGTACGGATCGCCGCGGCTAGGGGGAGGGCGGGGCGGCAGGTTCCCCCTTACAGACAAGTTTAAGAAAAGTTAGGGCGAGAACGTGAGGGCGGTTGGGTCTGCCTCTGAGCTGTGTGGGGTGCTCCAGGTGATCTGGGCCGGGCGCGGGGTGGAGGGGTCTGGCCCGGCAAGTCCTCGCCCCCGCCCAAGGGAGACGGCACGTGGTCACCCTTTGTGGCTCTCTTTCCCCACCCCCAGCCCCCGCCCGCGGGCTCCAGCTGCTCCCAGCGCACGTCCACTCGGCCGGAGCTGGGGGCTCAGGTGCGGCTGCCCCGGTGGCGCGCGGCCCTGCGGCGGCCCCAGTCTCGACGCTCCTCTGCGGGGGCCGTCCCCGAAGCGCGGCTGCCCCACCCAGGATCGCCTGCCCCGGGGCAGTCAGACTGCGAAGCTAGAGAGGCGCTCCCCCAACGGGCAGCCGGGTCGGGATGGGCGATTGGCGCAGGGCCGGGCTCGGCTCCCGGCGGGGGAGGGGACGGGGCAGACCCGAGGTCAGCAGAAAGCCGTGAGCCCTGAATTCAGGAGACTCTCCGCCCAAGAAACGAGAAGCTCGGAATGCGAGCGGCGAAGTGGGCATCTCCTCCCCGCCTGCTGGGATTCCGTGCTCTCAGCCCACCCAGGTCCCTGCGCGGGACCCCTCCACCGAGCTCCCGGGCACCGCCTTGCTTTTCTGTACTTTTCTTGATCTTTTCTGTCCCTTTTCCTTCCCTGCTCTCTAACTCCTGTTTTCTTTCACCTCTCCCCTTTCTTCCTTCTTTCTTCGTTCTCTTGTTCCTTTTCCTTCTAAAAATCGGAGTGAAGCGGGGAGAGTCCATGTGTCTTCCGGTACCATCGCCCCATCGCGTGGTCTCTGCGGGAAGGGGCATGTCTCTCACCACACCCTTCTCCACCGAGGGTGGAGACCAGACTAAGAGGAGGCTGAGAAGGTGGCAGTTTCAGTACACCTATTCCCGCCCCCCGCACCCACCACATACACACCCACTACCTGCTCCCCCCGATTTGCTGACACCTATAGTTCCACAAGTAGATATTCATCATTTTGACTTAGAATTTTGTCTTCTTCATTACATGCCTCTAAATACCGCCGAGAAGTGGTAATACTTAAAACCTTTGCCACTGCCTTTAGTCTGAGTTGTTCAAATCCCTTCAGGAAAGAAGTATTTGAAGGGGGAGTGAGTGCTGTGATATGAGGTTGAACCAAACTGGGGGGGGGGGGTGTCTGAAAATGGGTGCAGAGAGATTCAGTGAAGGCAAAACTTGGCAGGACTGTGGCGAACTGTTTGATCCACAGTTTTGACTGAGCCCGTCCTGCCAGGACCCTCTCTACTGCTTCACTGGGTCTTAGAGATAGGACTAGATAAATTGCACTTTCTTTTAAAATCTGCATCATTCAAAAAAAAAAAAAGAAGAAGAAGGGGGGAGGGGGGAGGGAGGGGTAGGTGGAGGAGGAAGAGGAAGAGGAAGAGGAGGAAGGGGGCTGGGAAAATGTTCACATAACATTTCATTCAGCAGAATTGATTTGCAAATACAAACCCCTGACTCACTGAGGAAAAAGGCACTGCCTGGACTCCAGTGCTCCTACAAAGTAGCTGACTGGCAAAAAGATCTGGACACACCTCCTGGGTGATGAGAAGAGGAAAAAAAAAAAAAAAAAAGGAGTCACATTTGGAAAGTAGCTCCCTTCCCCTTGTGAGCTGCCAGTTCATCCCTGAAATGCTGGAGGCAGATCTTCCAGGGTTAGAGCTGGATTACACAGCCAGAGCCCCAGCAGCCCGGCTTGAACGGTGAGCATGCAACACACATACATACACGGGCCACACAAAGAAGTGCCGACAAATTTGTAAAACATGGATGTTTCAGGATAGAAAACTGTCCGGGTGGAAAGAAAGTAGAGCAGGACTGGAGCACAGTCAGAGGGCTGAAAATCCAGGGTGTGTTCTTCTTGTGACTTTTATCAGTGTTTATTTTGATGAATAAACAGTATAATTAATAGAGACATTGAATTTAATACTTAAGGGAAACTGAAGTTCCTCTGTCCAGAGCGCTCCTATTACTGAATGGGAAATGAGACCCAGAGATGTGAGGTCCGCACTAACCAGCTGGAAGTGGCCAAGGGCTAGAAACCAGGTCTCACAGTTCAAATCAGTCTCTATGACACCAGGATGTCCTAGGAAAATTTAAGTGCTACTCATTGAATTTTCTTTAGAGCAACAGTATTTATTATTTCATGGTTCTCAGGGGCAGGAATCTGAGGGCAGCTTAGCCCGGTATCTCACAACACTGGCTAAGGCTACAGTCTCATCTGAAGGCATGACTGAGGAGTGAGCCACTTCCAAGTTCATATGTGTAGTTGGCTCCCCTCAGAATTTTAAAGCTGGGAAACACAAAGGCAAAAAATGAAATATAAAAAACTGTTTTCGGGTTCTGTAGAGAAATGGAACAAAGAGGATATATATGTACATATGAGGAGAGATTTAAGGAATTAGCCTGTGTGATTGTAGAATACAAGTTCAAAATCTGCAGGGTAGGCCAGCAGGCTGGAGACAGGGAAGAGCGACAGTCCAAGTCCAAAGGTAGTCTGATGGCAGGAGGTGAGTCTTTGTTCTATTAAGACCTTCCACTAATTGGATGAGGCCCACCTCCATTACGGACAGGAATGTGCTTTACTCAATGTCCACTGATCTAAATGTTAACCTTGTCTAAAAAACATCTTCACAGAAACATCCAGAATAATGTTTGATCAAATATCTGGACACTGTGGCCCAGCCAAGCAGACATATAAAATTAACCATCATAGTAACTGAAACAAATACACATATGCCTGGAAGATTGGAGTAGTATATTTACATGTGCCATTATATGCTAAAATGTTCATAAAATATATATATATTGTTATTTCTATATGATTCCCTGAGTCATAGGTAAAATATTTCTTGAGACAGGGCCTGTCATTCATCAGTACATTAGTGAAACCTGTATATTTTGATACTTCTGTCCTTGAACTGAGGATTTGTTCTTTTCTTTGAAAGAGTTTGTTAGGAGGGGCATCTGAATGGTTCCGTCAGTCAAATGCCTGCCTTCAGCTCAGGTCAGAATCTCAGGGTCTGGGGATTGAGCCCCACATTGGGCTCCCTGCTCAGTGGGAGCCTGTTTCTCCCTCTCCCTGCTTGTGCTCTCTTTCTTTCCCTGTCTCAAATAAGTAAATAAAATCTTTTAAACAAAAATAAGAAAGAGCATGTTAGGGAAAGGGAGGATGAACAAGAAAGTACATGATCTTTTAATGCAACAACCTGAGTTCAAAACTTGTTCCTGTAATTCACCAGCACTATGAACTCTGGCAGTTTACTATGTAAACCATAAACCTGATTTGTAATAATACTTATAATGTTTAACTCATGGGGTCATTAGGCAGCTTCAATGAGCTAACAAGACAGAGCACCCAGCATATTTCCTGGAATTTGGTAATATCTGCTGCCTTTGCCTGCCTCATGCATCATCCTAAAACTGAAAGTGCCAGGACCACATTCCTTTGCACACAGGAATCCTCTGACAACATTCCAGACAAAATGAATATTGAACATCTGTTTGAATCCTTAGCATTGATGAACACTCAACTATGAGAAACTTCCTCTTTCTGTTGATTGAATCAAACATTCATGCCATCAACTTCCATTCAGAACAAGGACATTCTATCTTCCACAAAAAGCCTTTCAAATATCTGAAGACAGCTAGCATCTCTCTCTCTACTCAGCTTTTCTTATTCAGTTTCCACAGCCATGATTATTTTAACCATTCAGTGCCTGGCCCCTCATTACACATGTGATTCACCCTTTCCTGTGGAAACAGGAGTCAATATCAGTCGTCTCGACAACGTACCCAAGGTGGATTCCACAGCTCCTGATAACAGTGAGATCCTTACCTTTCCTGAACTGGATATTTCTCTTATGTAAACAAAAGCTAATATTGACCTTTTAAGCAGCCACATAAATATTTATAGTAGGAATAGGAGTACCTATTATTATATTGATCTTCTACCACATGGTAGGGAGTATATAAATTTTATGCTACAAATCTAGTTGCTCAAGATATATATCTTAATTTGTAAATAAGTTAACCCAATTTCTGTTTTAATCTCTCATTCTGCTTTAATCAGTTGGATTCCTCCCCCTTTCATCAGGCTAGCTGCTTTCTTTAGAAGGGAGGGTAGAAAAACAGGTCCTTGATTTATCTGTGTCAGCAGACATCAACCTGCTAATGTCCGGGGATGCTGATGACCTGATCATCAGTCCACATAGGTTTGTCAATCTTGTCAATGAGTCCCCTCCAGGTTTGTGACTCTCTTGACTTCTTCATGGGTCATCACTATCCGTCAACCTAGCCCATTCTAGGCCCTTGTTCCCTCTCTGGAATCTCACAGAGATGGGAGGGGCAGCATTCAGGAAACCACTCAGTTCTCTGCTCTAACACATCCACAATCTCTCTTACTTCCCCTTCTAACCTGAGAAGGGAGATAGTTTCTCTTTCTCTACTGTGTCTCAACACTTCATCTATATCTCCACTCCTCTTAGTTCTCTTGGTGTGATGCTTAGGGTATGAAAAAGAAATCCAGACACTCCAAATTCTTCCTGTTTTTTCTTCTCTGCCCCATCATTTCCAGAAGCTGTGAGCATACATCAGCTTGAAACTTGTATAGGGAGAAGGAGAAGGGGAAACAACTAAAGGGAAAAAGGAAAACAAAAAGTTAATCTCACAAAAATATCAT